AGAGAAAAAAGAAAGCTAGAAAGAAAGGAAGAGAAAGAAATACAAAGAAAGAAGGAAAAAGGAAGGACAGAAAGAGAAAAAAGAAAGCTAGAAAGAAAGGAAGAGAAAGAAATACAAAGAAAGAAGGAAAAAGGAAGGACAGAAAGAGAAAAAAGAAAGCTAGAAAGAAAGGAAGAGAAAGAAATACAAAGAAAGAAGGAAAAAGGAAGGACAGAAAGAGAAAAAAGAAAAAGAAAGGAAGGAAGGAAAGAGAAAGAAAAAGAAAGAACGAAGGAAGAAAAAAAGAAGATGGGAAGAAAAAGAGAAAGAAAGAACGAAAATTAACAGCAAAATTAACGACATTAAGTTAATGCAGCTTTCTCAGGAGCATTATTTCCTGTCAAGCATTGGCCTTTATTAAGAACCGTAAAAGCCACTTGAAATCAGCCAAATCAAACTGATAAATCCTGCAATAAATCAAAACAAAATACATATTTTGTAAAATTCAGCAAGATTTTAAATTCAAAGGCGGAAGCGAGGAGCTGTCCCTTTCAGCACCTGAAAAAGCCCCGCACGTGTTTCTTCGCACTAACTACATTTCCCGGCAGTCCCCGCGGTGTTGGGGGGGGGGCGGGAAAAGTCCTTCGCTTTTGCTCCCAGACTGCTTTGCGACGGCCGCTTTCCTGCAAAGCGGGAGCCACGCGGGCGGCGCGCTTCCGCCGGACGGACTACATTTCCCGGCGCTCCCCGCGGCCTGAGGGAAAGGAGGGAGCCGTTGGCTTTTGTTTTTTTTTTGTTCTTTGCAAGATGGCGGACGGGGTGCTGAGCGCTGGCGTGAACCTGGAGGCCTTCGCGCAGGCCATAGCCGCCATCCAGGCGCTGCGCTCCAGCGTGACGCGGGTGTTCGACTGCCTCAAGGAGGGCCGGCGGCACAAGGAGGCCGTGGAGGGCCGCGAGAAGGGCTTCGCCGCCAACTTCCAGGAGAGCCTCCACTCCGTCAGCCGGGACTTGGGGTGAGGGCGGGGCAAACGGGGGGCGGGGCGGGCGGAGGCCACGCCCCTTCTTTCCTCTGGCGCCCGGCTGGAGGGGCGTGGCCACGTAGGATAATCAGGGAAGGGAGGGCGTGTCTCGGCCTGTTTTCTCCTCAGGTAGTGGGACCACCTGGCCCATCATCCACCCCCATCCACTGGCAACGCATGGGATACATCTGGGACTTCCATGCTGCACTGCAGGGCAGGGCATGATGGTCCTCCTTTGGCGGTTGGAGGAGAGCAGGCTGGTCTGCCCTTCTGTAGAGCCTCCCCAGCCAGTCGCAGTGCAGGTAGTCCTCAACTTATGACCGCAATGGAAACCTGAAATACCCGTTACCCAACAAGAGGGTTGGCCGTGTGAGCTTTGGCCTCGCTTTACGGCCTTTCTCTCCGCCATTGTTAAGTGAATCGCCGCCGTTGTTGCGTTAGTGACACGGACGTTAAGCGAATCTGGCTTCCCCATTGACTTTGCTTGTCGGAAGGTCGCAAAAGCGGATCGGGTGACTCCTGGGACGCTGCACACCGTCATAAAGATGAACCAGTTGCCAAGCGCCTGAATTTTAATTGCAGGGGATGCTGCAAAGTTTGCCTGTGCGAAAAATGGTTGTAAGTCACGTTTTTTCGGTGCCGTCGTAACTTCGGATGGCCACTAAATGAACGGTGGTAAGTCGAGGACTAGCTGTCTTGCGATTCCTGGTTGCATCTGTACGTAGGGCGATTCGAAAAGACTCCAGAGACCAAGAAACTCTGGAGGCAAACAGAACACATCAAAAGTAACATAGCGACCTGCAGAAATAACAATAAAAGTGAAATAACAATAAAATAAAACATTCTGTGTTATGATAAGGAAATAAAGGAAGCAAAAACGGAGAAAATGCAACTAAAGTAGCCAATGCAGAGGCAGGAAATAAAATAGGAAAAAAAGGCTTTGAGGTAGCAATAAACAATAAAAATTAAGAGGTATGAATGGAAGGATAGATGGACAACTGTATCTTATCTTCTATCTATCAACTCTTCTATCTTCTATCCAACTCTTCTATCCATCAACTCTTCTATCATCTATCCATCAACTCTTCTATCTTCTATCCAACTCTTCTACCTTCTATCCATCAACTCTTCTATTTTCTATCCAACTCTTCTATCCATCAACTCTTCTACCTTCTATCTATCAATTCTTCTATCTTCTATCCAACTCTTCTACCTTCTATCCATCAATTCTTCTATCTTCTATCCAACTCTTCTATCCATCAACTCTTCTATCTTCTATCCATCCACTAACTCCCAGCAACCTTGTGGTTTGAGATGGATGGATGGATGGATGACCAGCTTCCAATAAACAAAGTCAGTGGGGAAGCCAGATTTGTTTAATGACCGCATGATTCACTTAACAACAGGCATTCGCTTAACAATAGCAATAGCAGTAGACTTATATACCGCTTCAT